AAGAATTTTTTTTGGACATTGAGAAAATTATTAAGTACAAACTACAGAGCTTCAAATACTAAGTTTATCGATTTCATTTTTTTACCTGGTAAACAATGGGTTCCAGCCATTTACCATAACAAAAAAAAATTCAAAGACAATGAAGTATTGATAAACGGAAATCCTTGTTGCTTACTTAAATTGGGAAAATACATGCAAAATAGTGTTCAATAGATATATCTTGGTCCACATCTTCACTAGCCAATAGTTTCTGATCTGCTACTCTCCTCACAAACCCTTGGCAAATCCTGCTATCTCACAAACTCTTGGCAAATCCTGCTATCAAAAGTTCGGATTTTTTTTCTTGAGTTATGATTGGAGTTTATTGATATCATTTGACCAATTAGCGAGTGCTATTGTAAATGACAAAATTTCCATTCAGGATGTATTTTGACTCAGGTAAACTTTGAACTGTAAGATATTAGTAACATACCATTCTATAAATAGTTATGTGTCATCCAACTTAAAGTTGATGAGCACATAATCTAATCTGGAATATAGATTTGCACCCTAAATTACGAATAAACATCACTCAATACATGCTTGTTAATTATTCTTTAAAAACTTGATTTTTTAAAAATGCTTTTTTCTGTCAATGACGCAAGCTGTGCATATGAGGGAAGATTCAAGATCATGTGACGTAAACAAACCCAACTTTTCTAGCATGATAGGCTAAGGATTTGTGAGGAGAGTGGCAGATCACAAACCCTTGGCTAGCGAAGATGCTTGGTCCGATGCAATGTTATACAATTATTTCTGTTTTTGAGGTCAATACGAAGATTTAGCTACCTGAGGAGTACAATATTGTACAGTCAAAACTGTCCTAGCGGTACTTGGAATCAATGGCCACCCACGACCTGTGGCCACTTTCAATTCCCCCCGATGATTTTTTCCTAAATATATTTTAACTGAAATAAATGGCCACCAGTGTAACATGGCCAGCAGTCACTCAAATCCTCACCCTCAGTGCTATTTACACTGTAATAGGTGGCCATTTCATCCATTGCTGAGATTCTATAACGTTTTTTAAACACATTTGCTTGGATAATTATATACTTGTTGGTCTACCTTAACCTATTAAAACAAATAAACAAATAAGATTCGCCAAACTCTGTTTTCATTGTATTTTGTTCAATATTGATTGTGTTAAATAAATGGCTAAAAATACACCAGGAATAAATTTACTCATGCATATGTAAAACGTAATTTGCAGTCTGACTAGATTTAAATTTTGCACTATGAGTAAAAATACTCACATGCAAATCTTGCTCCCCTCCCCTCCCCCTCCGGCACAGGAAAGTGTTCTTCATTTTTAGTATAAAAATATACACTCAAACTTAACTACATTGAACTTTCTTTATTTGAAAAATTGGTTAGTTTGAAATGAATTTGGTTTCCCCTAAAAAAAACTAGTATAGTTTCTTTGTAATAAATACCCGTTTAGATTGAAATCGGTTAAATTGAAAAAATCTGTTAATTTGAAGTGAATTTGGGTCCTCTGAACACAAAGCTTGTTGTTTTGATAACGGTTGCATTAAAGTTGCCGATTGCGACGCCTGGACACAGGTGACTGATTATATACGAAGTCTAGCAAGTGTAAATTTTTCACACATGTGATTCGATGTTGGTGGACTTGTAAAAATTTTTTAAATTATAATGATGTCTTTATGAATAAAACAATTGAGCATTTCTCACCAGAACTTATTACTGGTAGGTGTCTTTCTTATTTTCTAACTATGGCATTAAGACTGACATGGCTTAAATACGCAGGGGTGTCGTGTGTAAATTGGTATGCGGAGAAAGTACTGGAGTAAAAATTTCCACTGTAATTAAGCTATAATTGAAAAATAAACTCCTTGATTTGAATCGACGTATATGAAGTATATGTTTGCAGTGCTGATGAGACAGGCTTGTGCTATAGATGTGAACCTGACAAATAATTTTATCTACCTGGCAATGTTCAAGACAAACTTTTTTTGTGTGTCAATCATCTTCAGTTGATAATTTTTTAACAGGAATCAACAAAGAACAATAAAAAAATTAAGGACTTCTCTGAAAAATAGAGACACATATATTTCTACAACACTGCATGTAATATTATGTAAAAAATAATAAATTCTCGCACGTATATTTTTTTTTACCGTATCTATATTTTATATGTAACTCATGGCACATGGATATAATGAAATTCTATTAATCTGAAATAAATCTCAAGGTCCCTTAAATTTCAATGTAAACGAGTTTGACTGTACTTACAACAAAATCCCCAAAGATGACATCAGATGATAAACTAAATATGGAAAACTCATTACAGATCAAATGCTAGAAATAGGCAATTTTTATGCAATTTTTCATTTTTCTACTCCACATAATTTTTGCTAAAATTATCTTCTTTATTTACTAATGTTGCTTAATGTTTATGGTCCTGCTGATTTTGATAAAATCATTGAGATAACAACAGATTATCTTTATCTGACAAAATGAATGATAGAATTTAAAGCAGTTGTCAAGAAGCTCAATCCTAAGAATGAACTGGATTAATTGTGCCGTGTTTTTGCTGTGTGGATTTCTGAATATTAACGCTTTGTTATTCCATGGATCAAAAAACAATGCCACACCGTCCACCTCTAGTGGACAACTGGACTCTAATGACCATCAACGACTTCTTCATCTGGAAACAGTTCTGGATTTGGTAATAAAAGAGTTAACCTCTGTGAATCAGGAAAATCAACTACTTCAGCTAAAGCAGACTACTTTAGAGAGAGAAGTTCAGACAATAAAGCAATGGAACCAAACTGTGGAGATGAAGTTACAAGCTGCCGAGACAAAGATAACCATCTTAGAGGATTCTCTAAAGGCTGTAATAAGTGAAAACAAACTCTTAAAAGACAGAGTAGACATTTTAAATTCTTCATCTATTTCATCACAACTCCATATCAGCTTTAAAGAACAACTGGATAGTCTGAATTCGACATCTACTTTTCTACAACAAGAAAACATAAATTTGAAAAGAGAGGTGAACATTTTAAACTCTTCTTTTACAATGATACAACAAAATATGTCTACTGGGGAAGATATGATAAGATTAGAGAACATCTTAACCTTTGAAATAGAGCAGACAGTCAGAGACAGTGAACAAAAAATGATGAAAAACATGTCTTCCACCATCACAGACCTGAAACTACGAGACAGATATTTATCACTTTCTCTGCTGGATGTACACAGCAACATGACCATGCTTAACCACACACTTTCCAAGCTCAAGCAACAGCAGAAAACACACGAAGAGCAACAGAGTATGACAATACAGCATTTAAGACACTCTCTGCAGAACAACACTGTCAAATTGAGCAACATTCTTTCCGAGCTTAAAACAAGTACGAGTACTTTTTTCTTAAGATATTTAATGTTCCTACATGTAACTAAAACAAAGTTGCATAAAGCAAACAAGAATTATGCTATCAAAAGTGGCAAATACTTCACAATCAACATTTCTTGCTTCACAATACACAAGCTGCTGGATGCTAGAACAAGTTAGCACAGAATTTTATCTTGAAAATTTGTCAGGAAGATAATTATATATAGTTTTTGTGTTTGTACATATTTTTTTGCATATAAAACATTTTCAATTCGATATGTCCTCTTATACTGAAAATTACATTCATCTGCGATACATTTTTCTTTCAGGAGTTGCTTTCACAGCTGGGGTAGCATACTATGATAAATGTTCCTTTGCCCCTTCAGAGACAATTACATTCCCACAAGTCATATACCAGGTGGGAGGGGGATACAACCCCAAGACAGGAGTCTTTACTGCCCCCAAGACTGGACTGTACTTCATATTTAGTACCGCAGTGTCACAGAGATTTAACAGAATCAGAACAACATTTGTCATCAATGGTTCAGTGAAGACAGGAGCCATGGCTCAGATGGACAACCCTGACTTTGAACATTACCTGTCAACCTCCAACCTTGTTGTCCACCAGTTACAGGTGGGGGATAGAGTCTGGATACAAATGTATCAGGGGAATCTTGTTTATGCTGGTTATGGAGAGACATCATTTTCTGTAGTCATGATTAATGGATCAATCTAATCCGAGTGTATTGTATGACTTTATAAGAAAATCTCAGAAATCCTTGCTGACTTAAATACAATTTTTTCAAAACAAATACAAAATTACTTGTATATTCAGGTGAAAACAAATCAAGATTTACTTTGACTGTCTGCTAATAATGCAAAATGACACATATTATCTTCAATAAGGAGGTAATCCCACCTAAAACCATAATTCCTGAAAATTATCCTCACTAGAGAGGTTCCATGGATTTGAAATACCCATCACATTTTGCATATTCAATCCATTGAATACTTTTGAAGAGTAACTACTTAAAGCAAATGTACATGATGTACTGTAATCTAATAAAAGTAAGTCAAACAGATGGCCAGTCAAGGACATGAAATCTGGAATAGCTACCATGTACATGTAAAAAGATATTTCAGAAACCATGTTTGACAGTGTTGCTGAATGTAGAATACAGAAGTATGACGCCAAGGTCAAACAGGTAGAGATGGTCATAAAAGTGATAAAATAAGGATGTGATTTGTGGTGTTTGAGAGACTTATCTCAATGCAAAATCAAAAAGACTAAAGTCAACTAGATGACTATCACTGTGTTTAGATATTAAAACGGTCAAATTTTATTTACCATTAAGTAAAGAAGTTCAGCTTTATCATCTGTGTGTGAATAATTGCTTGTTTACAACTTAGTCACTGAAGATTGGTTTTTAAAATGTAACTTAGAAATACACAAGTAACACTCCACTTTTCTAAGAATTAGTGACCTTTGATAAGCACCAAGCATTCTTTAACCTCAAAACCACATTCTGCTATAATATCTAAAACATCTACAGATTAAATAAACTGATGCCTGCTAACCTTGACCTTTCTATAAATAACTGACCTGTGACATCCTTTGTGAGGACCCTGGAGACCACAGAGAAGTGTTTGCTGCTGATACAGGCGAGGCTGGTGGCCTGGGGGAGGATCACAGAGATATGGTTACACAGAAGGAGGATATACTTCCTCAGCAGGGACCCTGCCCCTAGGAACTGTAACTCTGTAATGAAAATCATTCTTTACTTCAGAGTTTCTTGATTTTACTGTAACACATTTCAGAACTTAATTCCTAAAAATGTGCCTTTGATTTTTTCAAAAGGGCCTTTTTTACATAGCAGCAACAACAAAAAAAATTCAGAATATGCCTCTGTAAGAGATTTGACAGTATAAATACACATATTATTATATACAGGGAAATTTTCAGCCCGTTTTATTTTTATTATGGTTAATAAAATAAGGATAATCCCTCAAATTAATAGAGACGTTTAACACATCAAGGGTATGGTAAGACTTCTATCCTAATACAATACATCATTAAATTATTGCTGAGCCTCTCTACACTGTTTGACTGCTTCTTTACCTTTTTCTGTTCCAGTGGTCAGCAATGGCCCCTCCCCATCCAGAGGGAATATTCGGGAGACTAGTAACCTCTGCACTTGGAGGAGGAGGTCCAGGGAGGGGGAGGTCTCACGAACGTCCCACTCCTCCGTCTTCAGGAAGTGGTCCTTGGAAATGTCCTCCAAGTGGGACAGAGAATAGGAGGCAGAATTCCTGCATTAGGAGTTGACAAGTTTATTACAAAATATCCTCGGAATAAGTTTACGTCTTAGTAGATGATATGTAAATATAGAGTTTTTTTATGTGTATCTTCCAGCACATATTCATACATACATGTATGATACTTACCTTGCAATGAAAAAATCTTGTTTACATTGCCCAAGATTTTAAAAAGGAATGTATGAACAGTAATTATATTCACTTAAAGGATTCAAAAATCTGGACAAAAATTTCTTTATCTATTCACATGCATGTGAGAGTATACCTTAGCAGCTGTTGAATCAGTTGGAGGAGAGGAATGGTTGCTCCATTTTCATCACTTTCCCTGGGGTAAGGATCAAGTGGCTCTGCCTCAATGTCTCCTGATTTCTCACAGGTCAGCAACTCATGTGATTCTTCCCTGTCCTGCAAAAAAACATTTCAATTAACAAGGGCATTTGCAAGCAGGTACAATTGGCACTTTGTTATGCATCATATCATTAATTACAAGTGTGATGTACATATTAGTAGAGGGTATTTTGAAAAAGGTATGGTTTAACCTCATTTAAAGTCACCCAATATCCAGAACATGTGCTTACATTTACTTAAAAGCTGCTGTCAATGACTCACCTTTTTGCCTTCAATCTCTGTGATCTCGTTTTTAATGGCAGCCTCCAGAGCTGACTCCAATCCCCCATCAGCCATCAGACTACTGACCAGGAGATCGGTCATAAATCTCTGTCCAGGACTCATAATGCTGGCATCATGGCTGACCACTGACAAAATAACAACTCAACTAATATCACGTTTAGAAGAAGTAATATCATTTTCAATTGTACCTTTATGATGAAATATAATCAAATAATTATTTACATGCATTATGTTCATGTAAGTTTATGCATTATCTAAAGTACACTGTACTCTAAAGATAATACATTATTTTAAAAAAAAAGATTTTGTTTTTAACACTTGAAATTCCAAAAATTTGTATATAAATGTACATGTGCATTCACAAGTGCAAGGACAGATGTTTATCAAGATTATTTTAATTCAAGTACCAAAGGTAATCTTATTCTAAAATCAAAGTTACACAAAACCTTATTCTAAAATTGATGACAAATTGCAATGTTACCTTCAGTAGACAAAAGAGTTGACAAGGTTCTTGCCCGCTCCTCAGCAGTGGGCAATAGGATGGACCAGCCACTCTGAAGGGCATTCTGGGCTGCTAACTGGACTGTATTAATGACACCCACATTACTGGCAAGGGAGACTACTCTTTGCTTTAGACTGGTCACCAGCGGACTTCCTGGACCCAGGCCCAGGATATCTGTGCTCTCAGACTGACATATGGTGGCATAAAACTGAAAATGTGATGCAACAACTTTATAATGTAGTTTAGATGTAATTTTTTTTATAATTTGTACTGTCTTATAAAGTACCCTGGTAGAAAGAAGATGAAATTACATTGAAACAAATTTTATGAATTGTAAGGGTACTTTATTTAATGCAAAAAACAATACACCACATCCTACTTCTTAATAACAATTTTAGGCATATATTAAACAAGCTTAAGACTTGATACACTTAAACACATTATCTTGTGATTCCAGATATTCACCTCAGCCAATAATCTCAAAACTATTTACCCCCAACCCCCTCCCCACCCCCAACACCACCACCACCAATTTTGATTAGAGATGCTAATCAAGGCAGACCTCCCAAAAATTATTTTACCTGAAGATTGAGGAGGTTGAGCCCTGCTACAGCCAGGCATTCTTTGTCCTGTGGGGGTGGCCAATCTGACTGACCATCCATTCCCACGCAGACCTCAGCTAGCAGTTCATCCAGCTGTTCAAAAGTGCTCTTACACACATCCACAATAAACGGTACTCTACTCCCAACTATCCACTGTCCTCCACTAGTCCAGGCAAATGTCTGGGGGAAAAAAATTAAATATCCGTATTTATATAACAATGGCATATGCATATATTTTGATGTCAGATGTAGAGGAAGAAAAGAAAGTTGATAGAAATTCTCAAGAGCTAAAATGGGCTGTGTCCCATAGCTCTTACACTGCTGTAAATTGTCCTTCTTTTATTGAATGACCAGAAGAAAAGCTTTACAGCTTTACAGCTAATCAGATAAAAATATAATCTATAGCTTATTAATTATAGCTGCAATATTCAATATGCTTTCATATCTTCTTCTTTGTTACAATCAAAACATTTATTGTGAAACCTAGGAATGATTTTCAATAAACTCATACTGTATATGTAGCTTTGCCACAATCCTTCTCACCTGATTTGGGCCACAGGCCACTCCAATGATGTTTTTCCCCTCCATCCCAGAAATGAGGGTGGGTTCTGTGAAATTACTAATGGAGGGGTTTCCTAGCTGTCCCTGTTCATTACGGCCCCACCCATACAGCTCCCCATCCTCTGTGACAGCCATACAATGGAGAGATCCAATGGCAATGTCCTTGACCTTTTTAGAAGAGAGAGCCTCTATCTGTTTGGGATGCCTGACATGATCCTCTGTACCGTGTCCAAGTCTGAAGTTATCTCCCTTACCCCTACAATTCAAAACAATGTCAAGGTCTAATTCTGTTAAAATTTGTGACATAAAGCCATAATCCTGACACATGTGATCAATTAAAATTGCTCAAATTTATTCTATCTTGTGTTACAAAAATGAGACTTTTCAATATAATTAGGGTTTTCAGTCATACTGCCAAGTAAAGTAAAAGTTATAAAATTAATGATATCAACATTCACCTTATAAGAGAGCTATAGTCACTGATGCACATTCAAAGAAAGTAAAGCAAATAGTCACACATACACACACAGGCCAACAAACAAAGAAGAAAACTGCTTCAATCCTGGTTCATAATTGGACTTACCAGGAATACACAGCCCCTGATTTGGTAAGTGCCAGACTGCACTGCGTGCCACAATAAACCCTGACCACATCCTGACCCATCAGCTTCTCAATGACCTTGGGGGTCTTACAGCCATCATTTCCCCCTCTTCCCAACTTGCCGTAATCACCATCTCCCCAAGAATAAACAGCACCTTAACATAAAATTTAATAACTAAAAAAAATCCCTCATTTGCAATACAAAATGATCATTTTGATAAATCTCATTTGTAAACTAAAAGAAATAAGTAGATCACCAATAAATTGTGAGAATGTACAAGTAAATCTCAGGCAATGGGATTGACTCTCTGGTATACAGGATAAGTGATATTAAAATGGAAAATCAAACTTAAAAAGAAACCTGAGTCAGTAACAGCAAGAGTCTGAGCATCTCCACTTCCACATGCTATGTCAAGGATGCGATGACCCTTAAAGAATTTGAGGAGAATGGGTGTGGTTTGATCCTCACTGCTACCATGACCCAGCCGACCGAAATTTCCCTTTCCCCAGGAGTACACCTCTCCATTCGCTGTCATGGCAACACTGTATGAGCTCCCACAGCAGATTTTGGTCACCTGCTTTCCTGAGAGAGTAGTAATCAGGGCAGGCTCCTCACGATGTCTGAGGTCAGGGAAAAAACAATCTTATTTCATTTCAATCAACAAATAAACTTCTGAATCTAAAATATCACACTTTTTTTTTTTAATTCTGTATTGATGATTCATACCCGTAATCCTAGTGCTGACCTTAAACTGTCTGACCTGAGTCAATTCAATTCCTATTATCCAGAGATTTGGGGCAATGAAGTACACAAGTCAGTACCAGTAATTTTTGCCATTCAAATAAAAGCTTTCAGTACATGAACAGTTTAAACACTTCTCTTTAATTATAAGAATAACCTTTCTCTATCAAAATTTCTACAATAATACTTACATATAGTCCCCATGACCCAGTTTCCCTCCATCCCCATTGCCCCAGGAGAACACCTCCCCATCACTGGTCAGTCCCATATAGTGTTTCCCGTCTGGATGAGCTGCTATCTTGACGACTTCTCTGTCTCCAAAACCATTCAACTGCTGCAAGGTCTAAAATGACAAAACAATGAAGTTTGAACCTCCCTTTATGATAATGTACAGTAAGAGGGGTGCTGACTTTTTGTCAATATTCTGTAGCTGTCCCAAGACTTGTAAAATCTATTGTTTCCATATCAACAGCTATAGCTTCAGATAAAAGCAGATCTGCATGTACAAGTAGCTAGGACTAAAACCATACACAATAAAATGAGTCTGACTCTTTCATCTCTACAGAGTTAAAAATTACACTAACAAATATCTATTTTTTTAAAATGAATTTTAAGATTTTCTGACATACATACTGGCGACAGGCTTGTGTAATACAGCATGTAGACTTTTCCAGCCTTTGACAAGATCAGACAGCACCTCTCAGAACAAGCTATCTGCTGTACACCCCCAATGTCAGCAAAGAAGTCCATTAGAAATGGCCCTATAGCCCCACCCTCTGCTGCCCATGCCAGCCAGCCTAGTCCAAGAACTTCTTGTGAACTGCCTTGTTTCATAGCCTGAAAAAAAATCAGTTATCAATATCTGCAATATTTTTTAAATACAAGTACATGCATCTGCCAGGATATTTTTTTCTTAATTAAGCATCAGCCTTTGATAGTGATGAATTGGAGGTGTAGAGATTTTTTAGCTTACCTTTTGAGCACTGAATGGGTGGAGATAGGGAGCTGTTAGTCGGTCTAGGTGGGACATGATGACCACCGCTGACATTCGGAGATCTATTAAGGTGTTGGGGTCCTCAGGGTAGGTCAGATAATTCAAAAAAATCTCGGTGGGACTGGCTATTTGTACCTCAGACTGAAGAATCAAAGCAATGTGTATGTCTTAAATACATGTATCTCCCAAAAGCTTCAGCATTTATAAAAGTGAACACGTGGTAGCTGAATATGTGTAGTTAAGTTCAAAATTGTAGGACTGATGAATGCTTCTAAACAGCATCAAAATATAGTTCAGAAAAAGTGAAGGGAGTTTGTTGGATTTTAGAATAGAGCTGCAGGATTTACAGATGTACTCGTATTTTTCACCATCCTTCCAAGACAGCATTGAAATATAGTTCAGAAAAAAAAAAACTGCTACAAAAACAGAAGTACAGCATACATAGGTTAAACAGAAAATTTGATAGACAATAAAGAGAAAAAAATCCAACCTCTTCTAATTTCCTCTGTTCCCAATAGACTCTGGATTTAGAGCCTTTGATGGATTGAAATCTCTCCAGGAGTCGGATCAGGGGAGCACAGTTCAATCCGCTGCTGATCCGGTTGTCAGATTCCTGACAGCTGTTGTTCCAGAGATTGAGCAATAACAGCACTGAGCTGAGAACATGACTGAGTGAGCCCCTCTGTACAGACAGCTCCAGCAGAAGACACAGTGCCGTCTGCTGATCCTGGACAGGAATCTTCCCTGGGCTTGCTGACTGAATAGAGGTCCTGCCAAATTCATTGTAAAATTTCAGAATCAGAATCCTGGAGTTCTTAAAAATCATTAAAATGCCTTAATTGCTCAAATGACTTTGATTTATAAACCTACCCTCTAACAACTCCTTGTAGAAAACTAGAAGCCCTATCCACCACTTCTAACCATACACTTGACACCCTGCTTTCTTCAAAGAGTGTGGCCTCTGGCAGGGACTGTAGAGCTTCCAATGACTCATGTAGCAGTTCACTGCACAGATCAGAGTCCTCACCAGAACGCCAGGCTCTACGCAAGAAGGCAAAGGCAAAACTGAGAGCTGCTCTGGATCCCACCCTTGCCAATCCCACTGTTGCCTTCTCAGCTGGCTTCATCGAGCTTTGAAAAGTAAAATTTCATGGATGTAAGTAAAGAGACAAGAATACATTGATAAAATGAATTTCAACATGTTAATATTTCATACATTATAAAAATATACAAGACTGGTTACCTATAAATATATTTCATATAAGCTTGATAATCCATAACATGATGTTATAGGAATGATTTTAGTGCAACTCATTCTTTCTCAGTGTATTCAATGATAATAAGCACATATACAGTATGTACATGTATTTCTTGCTCAGAACAAATGCTGAAATACGAAATTGCAATGTACTTCCTCCAATGCCTTAATTTTCCTTCTATCTAAGAGCTACAGAAAAGTATACTTCAGATGGGTGTATAATTGCTGTCTCTGTTTTAAATAACAACTGGAAGACTGCCTTCATCCTTACCTTTTTTGTTTGTTAAGATTTGTCTGATCTGCTTGACTTTTCTTGGAGGGTTGTCTCCCCTCGTTGGGGGACTGTCTCCCGAGGGCAATGAAGTAGCGCTGAAGGATGGCCAACCTCTGCTGCAGTCGTGTAATGGAGGCAGAGGTACATGAGGCCTCAGTACACAACTTCTGGTGTTCATAGAGTATGGACTTCAAGCACTGCTTTAACTGACTAGAATCTGAAAGGAAGAAATACACGAATTGCAATAGGGTGAATTAAAAAAAAAATGACCAAACGCATATTTATCAACCCACACTAAAAATACAGGCAATGAAAATAGATTTCTATGTCTCAGCATATGTCTTTAGATAGTGTCTAAATACCTGCCAAATATCTCATTGATATCTCTATTAACAAAAAAGTTATGCCTGAAAATGATGCTAAAATTGTCAGGAGTGCAACACCTTTTTGTGACATTTTGAAATTTCAATATTTTTTGGAGATCTGTGAAATAAAAAATAATGCTTCACGTTGAAAATAAAGACTTTCCTGATAATATTCAAAGTATTGAGCTTTAAATGTGGACTGTCATAACTTTCGTTTAATCAAGTTGTGGTCATGGCTGATGTTTCAAAAAATGTTATACCATGTCAGGAGTGCAACAGAAAAAATGCAGTGTTACCAAAAAAACATCAATTGTAAAATTCTGATAGAAAATTAAGACAAAAAAGAATTTTGGAAGTGTAAAATAATAACTGATATACATTTTAAAACTTAAAAATGTTATATAAATCACAAGCAGCATTAATGAGAGTCAAGTATATGAGCACACCCAAAAATGTCAGGAGTGCAACATTTGATGTTTTGCTCCCAAGCATGAAAAAACTATTATCATTACATGATTTTCTGATTTTTATTTTGGAAAATAAAGACACAAAGAACATTTTTATCAAATAGATTTATCAATTACAGGATCTGTCCGTGCTTCAGATCCATATTTCTATGGTCAGGAGTGCAACACATTTTTTTAAAGATTCAAGTTGTGTGACGAAAAGACTTCTATTCATGCTTAGAAGAATTCATTAATTAATAATGATCTTTTGTATAATTTAATGCTAAATTATTGACAGTTTTATTATTAAAATCCTTCCTTTTTCAATTTTATCCATTCAGATGTGTTTTTATCTTTTTTGTGATTTTTTTAATGAACATTAAAAATAAACACACTAAAACATTGTCATAAAATTCAAGTAATTCCTCCTCAACTTCACTGAAACAACAGAACAAGTTCTTGTGTAATTTTCACTTCACAATTCTACTTTAAAGGCCCCAATGCTTTTGGTCAGGAGTGCAACAAATATGTTAGAATTATAAATCATCCAATAAGAATAAAAATAAAGAAAAAATGATGAGTAGAATTTTTCTGGTGGGTTACTGTGATTGTCTTCTAAAGGAAAATATGCTTTAAAATATATTTTATCTTCTAAATATACATTTAAGCTAGTTTTTTTGGCATAAAATGGGGTATAATTCCAGATAAAATGCAAATTTAAATACTTTCATCTGTTTTAATTATGAAGTATTGGACTATAAGTATTGCACAATTTCATTACCACTTGATGTTTCCAACACTTTATGAATGTTTGTGTTCTATGGTTTTAATTTTAAACTTTACTGCAGTCAGGAGTGCAACAAAACTGCTTCATAATTACCGATGCTTTTTAACTATCTTTACTAAAAAATAAGTTGAAAAAAACTGCTTGATACTATTTGATGTTCAAAACACTATGTCTATCAACAAATTACAGAAATTTTACAGTCAATTCTGGGAATAAATTTCATCATTTCACATATATTTTAAATACAATTTATATATATTACACTTTGCAAATAATCATGTTTTAAGGTCTTCAAAATATGAAAAACCTGCTGTAAACGATGAAAAATATCAACACAACAAATTGATTTACAAAGTAAGAATGGGTTATTGTGTGTTATCATTTTCAAAGTGACACTGTGACGGACAAACGGGAAAATTTGACAACAGTATAATTTTTGCATGACACATGCAAATTTTGTTCAGTTCTTGAAGATATTAGGTTTCAGAAAATTACAGGTTTCAGAACCTAGAAAATCTAATTTAATGGAGAAAAATAAAAGTAAAAAAAATCTTTGTATAACCCATCACAAAAATATTGCTTCACTTCTTCCTCTTTATTGTACGCATGCGCTGAAAAGTTGAAGAATTTACCATGGTGACAATTCCATAGATATAAATGTCGGATGACTGAGAATTTTGATACAATCTTCAAAAAAGATGATCATAACGTATTCTTTACTTCTGCTTGCCCCAGTTCAATGCTGTATAAACAAGTCTCACGCTAAAAACAAAGGACATGTGACCTTGACATTGTTGACATTGACGATAAAAACAAAGCGATAGATACAACATTTATTTTTCCGGCACTTATATTTCGCAGTTTTTTTCTTGTTTTACAGTGCAGTTGAGTTGTCAAAACTTCGCTATATTCATATTTCACAGAAATCTTTTGTTTTGTGATACAATTTTCTTAAAAGAAACACATGGTTTTGACTCATTATGTAACTTTAAAACAATGTTAAATAAAATACATATCAGATGTCAGGAGTGCAACACAATAATGTAACATAGGGTCACTTCAAAATCTAGTATTTTTTGTAAGAGACCTCGTATATAACAATTCTTTTTTGGCTTAGATTTAAAGAATTGACTGGAACGGACAAAAAAGTGAATTTTGGGGAATTTTATTGCTTTATATTTTTTTCATATTAAAACTTTTCAAACCAGAATTGAAAAAATAATGTAAAATAACAATCAAAAAGCCAATTTTTTGTCACATGTACAAGAGAAGATACTCATTTAAGGTCTAGATTTAATCATTTATACACCTTTTACCATTTTGAAGCATAAAAAACTATAATTTCTTGTGATTATGTATATTAGAAAGTCTTTTAAGGTGTAATGATATTTTCTTTTTTCAAAAGAAATTTTACTAATAAAAATTCTGAAACTTTTTAATCCAACTGTCTATTCTATTGCCACTTCAGGATTTTAAACTAGAATGCATTTGCAATATGATGATGTAAGTGAAAAATATGTAATAAGTAGTTGAATTTTGCCAAAAAAATTCAGTTTGGTGGTCATTTTTTTTATTCACCCAATAATGAATTTGTGTATTAACAGAATTAAGATTTCATGCAGCTTGACTCAAAACCCCCGAAATAAAAACTGATTTGCACTTCATGGAATCCAATCTAACAGGGATAAAACACTGCTTTATAATACTACTGGGCCATGATAATTTTATGAAACAGTTATGCGATGAATTTTCAAAGAACTATAAACTTCACATCTGGCTGTCCAAGAATTGGACACCACAGTGTAATTTGTGCATTCCAGTTTTGAGTGGAAAGGCGACATATTGTCCCAAATACACTACCTGGTTGCTCCCCCCAAGTCCAAGAGTTGATGATGGGCTGGGAATGTTTGGGGTTAGAGAGATCCTCCTTGTGCTGCTGTGCTTCCTCCTGGTCTAATTTCTGACAGGGGAGACAATTACAGCCATTATTGGGTCCACAGTGTCCATCGCAGCAGCTACAGGACAGGACCTTCATTCCACAGTAATACTTCCCCGTCTCTCCTGAAAATAAAATATTCCAGAATAAACAGGCTAAAAAATAGGTATTTCAAATTTGTCCTGGGAATTTACTGTCAAAATGCATTTGATGATACTTTCCCTTAAACATTTTCTTTTATTGTTAATTACATCCCATTTACAGTAGATTGATTGTGCAATTAAAATTCACAATACTTTGTACTTCTTTAAAGAAATAAAAATGAACTTTCAAAAATATACATGTAGCTAAATAACTTAAAAATCAGGAGTTTTATTAGAATTCCAATTTTCGGTGCTCATTTCTTTATTCTTATGAGCAGGAATTATGACATAAGCAAAATAGTATTTATTTTATATTCAAATATACAGTGAAACTTAGACTCCTCCCTCCTTGTCAATCATCAAACTTGGAAAATGTCCTATACCATAAGTATTACAAGCCATCATTATTTGCAATAAAGGGTGCAAAGGATAAACAAAGATATACTAGTAAGTTACCCACAATGCATGGAGAGCACTTTTTTTGCATGTAAATAACAGGATTATACTTAATGCTTTAAAGTATGCTTTAAAGTATGTTGAGAGTTACACTTTGAATTTTCTGACCTTTTCTGGCCAGTACGCCTGCACTGTTGATGAGTCCATCGTTATGGCTGACCGAGATCTCTCCCTCCTTGACCAGTTCATTCCACAGCGAGCTGAGCTCGTCTCGGTTGAAGACACCCTACAAGCAAAACATCTTTTTAAGATGTGGCACAGACTCTAAAATAAGCTAATGAACACAATAGCAATAATCACACAAAATCAACAGAGCTTTCAATATTAACATAACAGACAAAAACTAGATGCTGTCAAAAGACAGTACTACCCGCAGGTAAGTGTAAGCCTCTAAATGTACTCTCCTTTGTACCTGGGTAACTAAAGAAAAAGTCACAAAAATTATTCTATAATTTACATAATACATGTAAAGCATCAAGTGAGCATGTGGCCCATGGGCCTCTTTTGCTTGTATTTCATATAATAAATTCAATACCAGTCTGAAAATTAAGAATTTAATGAAGCTTAACTTTCTTTTTACAAGAAGTTTGGAAAATAGGTTGATTCTTTGGATGAAAATGAATTTTCACATCTACAAGACACCACCAATCAAATTCCAACAGGTGATTTGGCTACTGCAATATAATGGAAGTTCTAGGAATATGATCTATGCAGGAAAAAGTCCCTTCCAGTGCCCAATCAGCCTCTTGCATGAAAATTCCTAAACCTTATTGCACAACTACAGACACCATCAATCATAATCCAAAATTGTGTAAAATGTTAAAGGAGTTTTAGGAAGCAGATTTTTGGAGAAAGCCTTTTTTTAACCCCCACCCAATTGGCCTCCTGGATGAACATTCATTAACTTTATATCTACAGACACATTAATCATATTCCAAAAGATGATTTGTAAAGTGTAAGAGGAGTCCTGGGAACCAAGTTTTGTAGAAATACATCATTTTTCTACTTCCAATTGGGCATGATGATGAAATAAAAATTCTAAAATTTTATAATGGTACATCTACTGGGCAGCACCAACCTTATTTCAGAAGATGATTTGGCTACTGTGTAAAATATAACAAGGAATTCTGGGAACCAGGTTTTTTTAGAAAGACATCATATGTCAACCCCCAATAGGCCCCCAGAATGAATTGAAAATAAAGACTCCAAATCCTTAAATCATATCTACAGCTAGGACACCACAATCATTATTCCAAGGAATTCTAAAAACAACTTAAACATAACAGGAGTTTGGGAAATAAAATAGCGCAACAGACAGACAGACCAAGATAACAATAATAAACTCAAACTTTCTTCAGAAAATACCATTGTAAAAAATTATACATGTTCATTTCAAGATCCTTCATTTTTAATGACATTATACATTATGACATGCAAAATTTCATTTCTTGTAGAAATCAACAAATTAGAATGTAGTGACACCTTTTCATTTTAAAATCATTATTAAAATGTTGGAGAAGATTGTATAATTTAATAGTATGCAAAATACCTGTAGATTTGTTTTAGCCCATCTCTTGTCCAGTCGTTGCTGGGGTCTTAGTTTGGTGTCCACTGACCAACTCATTTCTATTTAATCATACTAAGAAAAAAACAAAATTGAATCTTGACTTTTATTACTGTACATTGTTCCTCTCAAGACCTGACACATTTTATTATACATGGTGAACCAAAACAATGGAGAAGGAAGTTGTTGATATTTATGTACTGTAATATCACTTATTTTTGTCAATGATTTGTAGATTTAGGGAAAAAAACAATTGTTCATTTGAATTCGATTTTGTGGTTGAAAAAGTATAGAGTACCAGCAGTTATAAATATGAAATAACATTTCTTAGAGGACATGAATTTGGGGGACTCTTCATACCATGAAAACAAATGAAAGTAATACTCCCATGAAACTTAGTGATTTCACAAAATATTATTGGAGCTAGTTCATTTTCTATTAATAACATTGCTTTCAATCCCCACCCTACCACATCCTACCCCCAATTCACTTTAAAAGCTTGGAAAACATATTTTTCCATCTACAGAGTAGAACTTTATATTTAGTTATGACAATTTTTCAATTTTTCTTCTGAGATAGTTAAAACTAACACAAAACAACAAGATGTGTAATGTGCTGTACATTGAATACTCTGTATCCACTGAAGATTAACAAATAAATATTTGTCACATTTAGAAATGCTTATCGCATGTAAACACTTACAAAATAAAAGAAAAAGATTATTACAGATAAAACTAATTTCAAACACCTCTTGAGTGATCTCATAATTTCATGACAATTTTAGCTCAAAGTGAGCAAAATGCATGTAACATGAAGTACCATTCCCCTCCAAATTTGGTATGAAAGGATAATAATAAGATAGTCCTCAACTCTGTGCCATTGTCTCTATTTTCAGATATTTACCTGTTGTTTGCGAAATATTACGAAATCTGCTGTTTTTTTCCTATCCCATTGACCTGGATAAAGAGTGAATTAAAGTTAAAAAGAACCAAAATCAACATTACATCAACTGTTGATGAAAGAAAATGTACATCTATTATCTTTAATGCAATTACAAATAAAACTTGCTTCATTATGTACACTGACATTCTTCTAGTAAGAAATACGAAATTGATATCTCATATTAATGAAGGAGGGATCTATATTAATGAAAAAATGTATGGCCTGGTAGAACTTCTTATCATTTTCATTTACATTTAGATTAAAAAATATAACAGCTAAATATTTCTGCTCATTTTCTCCACCAATGCATTGCAGTGCATTAATTAGCATATAACATATTATACATCATTAAGATAGTGATGTTAAAATTACATGATGACCTGAGACCATGTATCACTATGGAATACATCACGTTATCTTTTGTTACAAGGAGGTCCTGGAGCTATGTGATATATTCCATACATGACCAAATTCATGTAACTACTTATTCCAATGGTGTCTTCAATATTTTCCTAGCAGTTTTGCACAGTCTGTGTATATTTACCAATGGGTCACATTTGTTCAAACAATTCTGCAGCACTTTTCAGAACATATGCATTAATTAGAGGATGCTAGATCGTGTCTTTTATACATGAACAACATGTTTCAGTGCTTGCTGACAAATTTATGATCCCTGTAACTTGTATGAACATGTATGAATAGTTCCTGTGGAATTGTATTCATTTATATTCTCGAAAGCCCAGTAGTCATCCTCTTAAGAGAGTATCTGTGCTATGTATAATTTAAATGAAAACTGTGCTTATTTCATCTAATGTTTAACTTACCCTGTTATTGTCTAATTTTCTTTTTATTCAAAATATTTTAAAGCACTTTATTAAATTCATTATCAAGGCACAAAGCAAGTGAGGTTTACTCAACCATATTTGTTTTGGACCAGTAGTCGTGCACTCCGATGTAGCAGCAAATATGAGGCCAATAAAAATAAAAACAGAATTAAAACAAATTCCTTGTGCCTAAAATTCTATTCTTCATGGATCAATTCAATCATTCCGGAATTTTATTTGGTTTACTCATGTTTACGATTGGTTTTTCTAAAATAAGTCATAATTCTTTCTTCACTCTTTCTATACATGAATTTCTACATAATAATTACGTCTTACAGTATAAGGACTATACAATTTTAATCGGGTCATCTTTTATAATGCTTGACCAAAGTAAACAATTGAAATACCCAGCAATCATCACGTATGATTATGCTAATTAGCCATGTGCTCGTCATGTCCATAGGTGGCGCTTCCATGCAGTTAAAGTATATATTAAGAAACTGTAAAAAGAGTATTAACAAAATGGCGGTTTTTATTGATGACTATGTTTATTTCATTAATTTATAGCGAGCGCAGCGAGCTCAATAGACTAACGTGTAAGAACAGAGAAAATTCGGAATGAAATCTGTACATACGTCAGGCAAATTTTCTGGGGCAACATTCCCAGAATTCCTTCGCTACCAGGGTTCCATGCGAAATTCTTACAAAACATATAAAAGACCAAGGATAATTATTCATTACCGAGAGATACGTTTACTTTTCTTTCTTTGCAGAGAGCTTAAAAGAAACAAAAAATAATTACATCAACTCTACAACGTATTTCATTTATTATTGCTCAAGAGCTTTAGTCTCGTTGAACCAGACGCTCGGCTGTCTCCGTAAAGGCTGACGTCTTGTGACGTCACAGTCTAGACTGTGTCTCGTGCGGTGTGACGTTTGAAGAGGCGGATCTTAAAAGTGTAAGCTGCTATAGCTTTTTGATGGTACAACTGCGCTCGCCCCAACGGTCACACCGTAAAACATATTAATGTTTCCCCCGCATATTTAACTTTCTGTTATAGTGTAGGCACTTCCTTCTCTAATCTTTGAAAATTAATCGTTTATAACGTAATATCATAGCACTTGACCAATGTACGACAAAAACAAAATGATGCACAACTACTGGGCATGCACGACTATAGGACCCTGGACCAGAACACTGAGAAGACAGGACATCATAAAATATGACAATTACACTCATGTTACTTCTTTGTATGTTTGACTCGTAAGTTGATGCGTGGGTAAAAAAAAAATGGGTCAAATTGTGCATTTATAAGGTTAACATAGTTAAGTAGTCAGGGCTATTTATTCACAGATATAACAAATGGATAACCAGGGTCACCACTGTATGCCACATACCTGTGAAACGTCAAAGGAAAACTCACAACTCCATTGGACTATATTGAATTTCTAGAAAACAGTGGAAAAGACCAGCGTGCTGTGCACATGCAGGTAGCACGGTTGTTTTATAATGAAAGTCCCGAATGCAACATTAATGCCTGGTACCAATTTGTACAGAAATATCCTCGAACATTTTTGTTTTATGATTTGATCTAAAAAATACGTTACCTGCCTTGAATTGTTAATAAATAAGAATAGGTTACAAATGGAAGAACCAAAGTTGTCAAAAATTCTGGGTTTACTATTTCGTAAATTTCGAGCCCGATCTTTTATGTACAAAAATGCCTTTCATTATCTCCGAGTAACAAGTGCATGCAGACAAAAAAAAAAATAAATAAATAACCACTTCAAGACCTTATAAATTTTGCCTTACATTCCTTTTTCTTATTTCAGAATAAAATGTCCTTCTGATTCTTGGATTACCATGCTTATTTAGAGTCTCGATTGAACACTACTTATAGATCATGTAGATAGCATCGATTAAAAGAAGATGGGCGAACAAGGAAAGCGAAATGCCCATGAAGGTGAAAATTAAATCTCAATTATTGCAAAATTTTCTTTTATAGTACATCTAACATTAAAGTATACTTTATGTAAAATCTCCACAATTTGCAAACATCTCACAAAGATTGGAATTATTTGCCTATGAAGTTGCATACACACACACCATGCACACTAAAGAGGTCTAAAGGGATCATTTTCTCGTACTATAACACAATTTTTTGATATGAGCGGGTCTTCGCTCCATTTATTTTGAGAGTTTATCCTCAAAGTTTGCGTAAAAATATACATTATTTTGTTAACAACAGGCCCGTAGGAAGCAATTTCAGTTGGGGGGGGGGGGGGCACAGCCATACATTTTCAGTTGAGGGGGCACTATCAACTACCAAAAATTTCTTGACAAGTATCTGTGTTTTCTATTGTAATCTACATATCGGCAACATTTTGCCCCCCCCCCCCCGGTTCCTACGGCCATGAACAAAAACATGGAGCGAAGACCCACCATACCTTAAAAATATACTTTTTTGACACAACATTCGCACCTTTCCGAGAAATTAGTCAAGGGTCATATTAAAAACATGATTTATATGCCAGGAGTTGTGTAGCGTAATGGTTAGCGTGTTAGTCTCAAAGGAAAATGATACTCAGGATTTTTATTTCTAAGGTTGGAACCCCACGAATCCCACATCATTTTTAATAACAGAATAATTTTTGCCGAGAAAATTTTCCTCAGAAAAGTTTTTGTTTGTCATAATTTCACAAATTTCAATAATGAGAACGCTACTCCAAATAATAAATTCACAAACTGAATAAGATTTTTATATATCTGAAGCTGTAGGCATTCTGCACGCCATGTTCACCTTAAAAAATTGTTTGGTTGCCCTCTCCCGACCGACTGGCTAAAAATGACTCGACTCAAAACATTTTTTTAACCTCCAGGAAGCAACAACAAAAAATGCATTCAGAATAATATATTTCAAAGCTATATATGGTGTATTTGAGCTAAAAAATAAAAATACGAGATTGAGTGTAGATAAACATGATATATATTATTTACATTCAAATTAAAATTTTACCAATTTTGAACTTGAATAACTTCATGTTTCCACAGTTAAATTGAGTTTAAACTGTGTCTGTATTAAATGCGGAATCGGTAAATAAATCAGTTGTTTTAAATTTCTAATATCTTTGAGACGTGATTTATTTAATTTGTGTAATTTACAGGAAAGTCCTACCTTTATATAAAGTAATAAAACAACTAGAAAGATCTTTTTTTAATTTTAGTTAGTCTAAACTTATTTAAAAAATACGCCATACATTGAATTTAAAAAATTCAGCGTTGATCTTGAAAATTTCTTGGATTTTTTTTT